TAGAAGTACAGGTCCATTTACCATAAATGTATCTATAGTTTCAGGAATTATAACCTTATCATACATATAATCAGTAGAGGTTTATTACAGTATTCTCAGTTAAACTTCCTTGTTTTATAGTTTTACATGTCTAACCAGGATTATGTTGAATTATATTGTGGAATAATTAAGAGTACTGAACTTAATATGATCCTAAACTTCCAGCCTAGTGATCTCAGTCCAAGATAGGAAAAGGAGGAAGGCCAAATGAGTGCTTCTATAGATCAACAGTAACCTGTTCTTCCTGATCCTAGCACCGACTGGTCTCATCACTTATTGAAAACATTACACAACTGAATATTGCTGGATGATCAAATTTGGAGAATATGCTCGAGATTCTGTATTTTGTAGACTGTTTATGCATAATATGAAAACTGAACTAGTGCTGTGTTTGACATACATTCATCCAACAAGTCACCAACATATTCTGTTAACTAGATATTTGTCGTTAACTTCAGCTGAGGACGCTTAGAAAGGCGCCAGCTTGAGGTCGGCGTTGTTGTATAGCCTCAAGCATGTTTTTTCCCGGCATCCAAATCCATAAATCAAGTGGCAGATGCGGTAGACATATTTTCTTAACAAAGTCAATAATTCTGTTAGTAATTAGAAGTCAGTGGTTAGAACAAAGAAAAAGTGAGGAGTTGGAAATAAAGTAGGTCAGACTCACTTCCCAGTTTAAGTACCCTGAGCTAAAACTAAGAAAAATAAATCCTACCTTCGTGTAGATAATGTGTTTGAGAGGAATGAAATATATGGAAATTTTGGAGGATGTGGTACTGTTAAACTGTATTATGTTACACTGACAGATGTTTCTTTTATTTTGTCCACCCCATAGTGAGAGTAGGTTAAATAACAAAAACACCCATTGCAATCATGAAGGTCGGATTTACTGCAGGATGTTATATTAGACTGCATTCGTTTTAGTTACCTAATGAACTATTAACTGAGTGTGTATGCATAGAATATACAATAGACCTTTTTCACAGCAGGCATTTTTACGTGAAATAGTAGGGTTAAAAGGTGTTACCAATGACACTAATAAAGGTTTTTCATTCAGGTCAAACAAGAGGCACAGTGCTGCTGTTGTGGCTCACTTGAAGGACTCTGCTACACTAAATGGAACAGGACCTTCATTAGTATCATTGGTAACACCTGTGTTTACTCTAAAATGGCAGCTGTGAAAAAGGTCCATTACTATGTGGACATTTTTTAGTTCCTTACATGAAGGAACAGTGTGTTCATTTTACTATATTCCTCCAACCACCTGGCTCCCTCTGCTGGTGACATTTCTTACTGCGTTCGCATACATGTTTGAGTTGACAACCAAACTACCACAAGTGTCATCTGCTGCAGTGCTAAAAGTAAAAAAGTAGGGCTGCACAATACAGTAATAAGTCATACCGCAATTATTTTGAAAGATATTGTGATATAATTCACGATAAGGGAATAATCATTTTGTCATTCCAATTTTAATTTCACTGAAAGAAAACCTTAAAATTATGATTTGTTAGGATTTATACCAAAAAAAACATGTTTTCTTACATCTGGAGGATAAGATTTGTAGGCCAGGGCATCTCTGCAGCACTACACTACTTCATTATAACGCTTTTTTGACACGTATTTACCCTTTTCAAAAAAATTCCAGCTTCTACAATTTGGATATTTCACTTGGCCATACTGAGATTTAGATAATAATTTGATTAATTGTGCAGCCCTAATTAAAATAGACTAATTCATCGCAAACTGTGAAAGAATAAACAACACATTCATTTAAGCCAGCGATTAAAAAATGAAATGCATATACATATTTGAGTCAATAGTTTTCTGTGTGATTGTAAATACTTGAAGAACAAGACACCAGAGCAGACATGCTTTTGCAGTACATTTTACTTGTTTTGTAACATGAATCCACGGCCTTATCTGAAGAGCCTTTTGGGATGCTTTGTCAGTGGAACCTGAGATAAAAATAACTCCATTTAGGGAGTAGTTAAGTAGTATATTTTAGGTTTGTGACGTGTAAGTTTCTATTCTCTAAGCAAGAAAAAAAAATAATACAAAAACAATTTCTAAAAAGACAAACAAAGATCCATAAACAGAAAATGAACAGTGTTGAGGTTCAGCCTTTTACTCTCTACAGGAATGAGGTGACGTGGAGAAAACAGAACACCACTCCCTGCTGGAGAAAGGGTTAACAGTTGGTGCCATTTTAGACCAACAGATGAGGGGGGTACAGGTCACACACTCCACGAGTGCTGGGTGAGCTGGAGACACTGTCGGGCACGAGGCAAAGGGAAGGGTAACGTGGAAAGACAAAAATTGAAAGAAAGTACACATTCTAAAATAAGACTAAAAGTGAGAATACGCAGTAAATGTATATGTGCAACAGTGATAAAAGGCACAATAGCACAGTGTGTCATGCTTTACTAGTTTCCCTTAAATTAACGTCAGTCTGTGCCCGCTTGGTTCAACCAGACATTGTAGCTTAATGCTAAGTGCGACGCCTCTTATGGTGCTGAGAGGGATGTTAAAGGACTGCATCATTTAAGTGGGAATACTTGACTCCAGCAACAAAAGTCAGTCAGTGATATTAAAATATCAAACGACAGGACAGCAGACATTGTGTGCTGCCTATATCATATTGTCTTTAAAAGCCTATACTGCCACTATGAATCATCAGGTTTTGTATGCAGTTGGGTAATCTATGGAGGAGTATTTCAGGCAGCCGGACTACATTACACTACAAACATTCTTTTTTTTTTTTGTTAATAATTGTCAACCTCATGCAAATATTCTTTTTTTATTTTTTTTTTAAAACAGAATCAGATCCAGTAAATCCATAATACAGCAAGGAACATCTGTCACTTTTATGGGTAGATTCTTAAACCTTTCAGCAAAGCATTATGACTCCAGCCATCTATTCTATCGTCTATGTTTTAGCTAACCCCGCCTAAGTTATACCCCTACTGCCTCAGGAGTAATTCTGAAGTGAGTTCTCATATACTGAGAAGCAACAAAACTGGAACGCAAACCTTTAAATAAGGGGGAAAGACTTAAATCTTCCCAATAACGTTTGGCCTTCTTAAATCAAAAATGTAAATTACTACCTACAGAACGGCTATAATAACCTCTATTTAACCAGACCATCTAGGCCTCTACCACTTTGCCACTTTGTTCAGGCCTGAGCAAAAGCTTTGCTGCTCTTACAGAACTGAACGTGTAACTAAAGACATACAAGTCTTGCTCGGGTCTCAATCCAATAACTACAGATTCAAGGTGGCAGTGTAAACAAAGACTAGCAGTGTCAGTGTTGGAGTAATTTACACAATATCCAGCTTTGATTACATTGCTGTAGTAGTCTGGCTCTTGCTAAACACATCTTTAATGCTACAGGAACATAATTGGAATCTGGGAGCAGTGTTGCACACACTAATTTACTGGGCAACCCATGTCGATGGCTTTGGAGCATAACGGACAACACTGCTTTTGTTCAACTCTATATACTACTTGAGTAAATAATCTCGTCTAATAAAACTACTAAAAAAAGGGAGAAATAAAAAGGAATAAAATATGAATAAAACATAATATTAATAAACAGAGTAATAAAGTTTTTGGTTTGTACAGTAGGGGGTTAGTGAACTTTGTTGGGTGCAGCCCTTTGTTAGCAACTACAACATATGTTGAGCAATGGTATTAATTACCTATGACACACTTTTCAAAGTTTAAGTCGCATGTAGCTTGAAGCAGTCAGTCAAAACACTCATTTCATTTTCATCTCGCAACATTTCAATATTCTCATATTAAGATCTGCAGTTTTATTTTCATTCCTTTTTCTGCTGCAAATTACATGAGCACAGATCTCCAAGTCCAAATGTGAAGATTGCATCATTACAACTCAAATCCATCGGTTTGTCAGTAAAACAAAAAGAGACTAAGAGGACAACTACAGTCCTTGCAAAAACCCAAATAAGAATCCCCCCTCCCGATGCTTACTCCAAGCCAAACTAATACGCACTCTTCCCACCTATCTCCTCTGATCATCTGCTCCTACATAATCTCAAAAACTGCACTTCAAACTAAATGTTTCAACCAAAAGCTCTGAGACCCACTTCAAACTGAGAGGAGGGTGGAGAAAGGCGGAGGAGAGCTGAGAGAGAGAGAGAGAGACAGACAGAGAAAGAAGACTGTGTATTGGCTTTGAGTGTCTAGGTCCTTCCTGCAAATAGTGGGCGTAACGGGGGAGAGGGGTGAGAGGGAGGGTGTCTGGGTCAGGTTATGGCGATAGATAGTAAGGGCAGGGTGACGGCGCTGCAGTGGCCCCTGCGAAAGTCGACCTCAATGAACGATGAGTGCCCCAGCAGCGTAACTCACGGAGCTGTCCTGCCAGTTCCTGCACTCACTCGACTGGGCGTAGTTCAGGAAAGAGAAGTTCATTTCTAAACCAGACTTCCTCAGCTCAGCCACAGCCTGCAACAAAGCAACACCAGTAACATCCACTTAGTCACGATTCACACCATGAACCACACACACACAGTGTCCATTCTCAAGAAAGGAGGTGTATTATACTAACAATTGCTGTTTTTTTTACTATCCTTTATTGCCAATTGACCGTTCACTAGACCCCTCCTCCGGACAGTGATTGTCCAATCATAGCTTAGCAACTGTAACTACACATAGGCCTATCAGGCTTTAATATCACCACGTGCTGAAGCAGTGTGCATGAGGATGCAGTAAGAACGACACATGTATAAAGAGTTTGGAGGGTGGTGTTTTAATTGAGCCTTTACAAAAACACACACACAAAAAAACAGTCTGCTTTAATGCATGCTACAATCATATACAAATCTTCTCATAGAGGTTACTAACAAAAAGGAACTAATCGGGCCAGAGCTTAGCGATCAGTGAACTGAACTCCCATCAACGTATCTACATACCGACACAGATGGCGAGGCTCTTCTTCTGTGGTACTTACATTTAGCAGCACTCCAATCGGGTGACGCCCACAGATGGTGTTGCGGTACTTCTTCAAGTAGTTGGTGAAAGACATGGGATCCAGCTGTTCTATAATGCCCATCCCCTTCACAGAGAGAAATGGGTCAGAAAACTCCTCGTCTTTACAAGACATTGATTTTTATGGGTAGCGTTTTCGACCTGCTTTTCTGTGCCATAATATGAGGCAAATGAGTTCCAGTGGCTCGACTCGTTTGGTTCTTATGTCATGTTTCAAAATGCAATTATGTGTAGTTTGATTTATACTCAATTATTTTGTGATCTCTAGAAAAGTAAACAAAAAAAAATAATAAAATACCAATAATCGCTGCATGTTCAAGAAAACACAGCTTCCTTATCACAAGAAGACAAACTTCATGGTCACGAGAAAAACAAGAATCTATATCCACTATGCCCTTCTATATTTTACCCTCCTGAAGCGGTATATTTTAACAGAATACATTATAGTATTGTATAATAGTCACATTAAGAGCACAAAATATTCAAAACGCATTATACGAGTATAAAGTATGGGTCTGGCTCATTGTGACACAAGTATCTATTTAATGTGTACTTCATTACCGTAACAGCTGTGCATCCGGCTGATAATCAAAATATCTCAGTGGTTACCATTTTATCAAGATGCTCGATAGACCTGTAGATCTCCCCTTGAGATTCATCATAGTATGTGTAGCGGAACCGCTGACCTTCAAAAGAGAGACGGACATCAGTACAAAGCTGATACGGTCGTGGCACAGTTATGACATTTAGGCCGAACTGTCCTCAGATCACAAACTAT